ATAGAAGTGATGGCATAAAGTAGTTTAAAATGCAAATCATGAAGTCAGTAAGAAGAGATAAAATCCTGCACAGAAATGTACAAGGCTGAAGGTGAAACCATACAGTATTTTCCTTTTTGTATTAATTTGTGATGGAGAAAATTGTATTAAAGACTAAAACAGAAATCCAAAGGTTAGTATTTGAATGCCTTAGAATATAGCTAGAAAGATTTCATATGCCCTTTCACTTAAAAGCCATCCAGTTAGCAACTGCCAGTTTGGTACGTGTGGTACCAGGTGTTCTCACTGCTAATCCCATACCCTAGGCCTCTACAGTCAAGACATGAGGAACCAGAAATTTTTTACATACTAAATAATTGCAGAGGCCCAGCTAGTATTTAGTAGTCATTTAGTACCTACTCATCATCTAAAGTCATTTTGGATGATCAGTGTCAATTGAGTGGGTAACACCAAAAGCATTATCAAATGTTTCCTGTGCTTACACTCCAGGTCACTAATCCTGAAATAATGACTGGACCAGATCACAAGAGACAGGGTGGCACACACTAGACTGTGTACATGTGTGGCATATTCCTCCACTACAACAGTGATAACTGCACTTTGAAAACTTGTTTGTCAGATATGGCTCAGATCAAAATGCAACACAGCTTCTTTAATATTTTTTTTTTAATTTGGCTGTGAAATGGAAATGATTTTAACAGCTTTGTCTATTTAATTGACCTCTTTGGCAGTTATCCCAGATTTCAGAATTTCAGCTGTTACTTTATTTGCAATAGTTACATCTTTTCCTCCTCTAGTATTTATCTAGAATGTAAGCTGACTGACAAATTTATACTAACAGTTAAAAATGGATTGTGCAGAACAGAAGTTAACATGGTAGGGAGAATATCTGCTCCAGACAGATTAGATTGGCCTGGTCAGTGAGACTGTAGTGTTGTATTGCAAAGGTTTTTGTCAGTTTTTTTCTTTTTTTTCTTTTTTTGGTATGTTCTTTTCCCTCTGTGCCACACTGTAAAAGAATGAACATGCCCTGAGAGAGCACTGAAGGTCAACTGGAACCCTGCAAATACATTAAGCAGTAGAGTAACACCAGTATCAGCGGAACAGAGAAGTGGGTCTGACTTTTGGATCTGCTGTCAAGCTGTAAGAGCAACCACTTGTTCTGTTTTACTGGGTTCTTCCTACTGTTTTCACTTCACATCGTGCTGTTTGCCCCTGCTCACTGCACAAATGGAAGCAGTGAGAACACTGGGGTCTCCTCTGTCCTTGTCTTTCAGGCCCAGGACTTTGGGTCGCTGAAGGTTTGCACTGGGACAGCTGACAGAGCCAGTGTTCCAGTGTTTGTGCAGGACAGCCAGACTGTTCATGGAGAGCTCTTACAACTCTGCAATTTGCAATCCAGAGTTTTAAGATAAACTAAAATTAGGTTGAACATTTGTGCAGTCAGTGACACACAAGAGCTGATCGTATCAGCTGTTCCAGTACTGACCAACCCCTCAGGAGAAATTCCCACCTAGAGAAAGTGATCCATATTTGCTGATTTGAATAGAACAGTACTCTGGTGTTATGAAGCATAACATCATAATGAAAAATGATGCTCTTATTAATAAATGACTGAACGTTTTGTTTTGGATAAAATTAAAAAAAAACACCAAAAATATAATAACAAGCTCATTCCTAGCATTTATTCACCCTTTCAAGACTACTTTTAACACTACTGAGCAAATTTTCATAGAATTGTCCATTGTAAATTCAAGACAGCTTTAAAATGATAATAGTTTAGAGAGATTGTCATTGTATGCATGATAAGCATAGGTTTTATTCTTTACCTTACTCTA